TATAAAAGAATCCAATTGCTGGCCAGGGTGTGGTGGCTCACACCTATAATCCCAGCACTTTGGGAGGCCGAGGCAGGTGGATCACAAGGTCAAGAGATCTAGACCATTCTGGTCAACAAGGTGAAACCCCGTCTCTACTAAAAATACAAAAATTAGCTGGGCATGGTGGTGCGAACCTGTAGTCCCAGCTACTCGGGAGGCTGAGGCAGGAGAATTGCTTGAACCCAGAAGGCGGAGGATGCGGTGAGCCGAGATCGTGCCATTGCACTCTAGTCTGGGTAACAACAGCGAAACTCCGACTCAAAAAAAAAAAAAAAAAAGAATCCAATTGCTAATAGTCAAGAAATGATAAAAAAAAAAAAAATACCCTCACGGTTTTTTTTTTATCATTTCATAGTTCTGTGCTATAGCTGGCCTAGAGTTAGAGCCTGAACAACACCATTTTATGCAAGACAAAGCTGTTTTTCAGAAATAAGTTGTAACGGCTGACAATAACTGCTTGCCTTGGCTTCTGTACATAAACTGCTAGCTTGCTCTGCAAAGTGCCCGCTATGTAAAGCTGCTTACCTTTTCTTATCAGGAACTGCCAGAATTGCCGCCTTTGCTTACCGGTAATGACCAGAATAAGCAGCCCAAGCTAATTCCATTCTGACCCCCGGCGACTTGTAATGAGTAACTAAGATCTGTGGATCCACCACTGCCCACAGGATGTGTAAACTAACGCTTATCTTGACTTCTGTAAACCACTTAGGTAACAATCAAAGTGACAACAAGTCCCCTAGACCTTGGAATGTCCTGAGACCCGCACCCTCCTCTCTGCCCGGGAGGTGATTTATGTCTGAATCCCTTCACCTCCACCCCTGCCCCACACCCTCACCCTGGAGGTGGTTTACGGGCACAAAAGGGTCTTGTCACCCTCCTTTCCGGGCCACAGGTTGGAGAGACGTGAGTCCTCCATGGCCGCTGGCAGTAAAAACCCTGCAATTTGGCATACTTTTGTCTTGGTGCTAATTTTATACTCGATCCAAATACCTCAGCTCCACTCTACAGTATCATTTTCTGTAATTGTATTTTAAAAAAGAGGTTTCGTTGACTCATTGTTCTGCAGATTGTAAAGGATGGATAGTGGCTCCTGCTTCGGGGAGGACTCAGGAAGCCTTCTAACCATAGCAGAAGGCCAAGCAGCTATGAAATGTTTCATATAGCAGGAGCAGGAGCAAGACAGAGAGAGGAAAGAGATACAACACCGTGTTATACAACCAGATCTTATGAGAACTCACTATCAAAAGATCAGCGTCAAGATTAACCAGTGGGGAAGGATCCACCACCCACATCCACCCCCAGCCGTTTCCAGGCAGAAGTCTCCTGCAGAGGCGGAGCCTCTTAGAGAACCTCTACTAAAGCAGTGCAGAAAGAAAATACGGGCTTTGATCCCCCAACCAGGGGGTCACCGTCCTCCAGACCCTGGATTTATAAACCCACCAACAGCATGCGCCCTCAGTATGAAAAAGCTACAGGCTGGCTGGGCGCGGTGGCTCACGCCTGTAATCCCAGCACTTTGGGAGGTCGAGGTGGGTGGATCACGAGGTCAAGAGATCGAGACCATTCTGGTCAACATGGTGAAACCCCGTCTCTACTAAAAATACAAAAATTAGCTGGGCATGATGGCACATGCCTGTAGTCCCAGCTACTTGGGAGGCTGAGGCAGGAGAATTGCTCAAACCCAGGAGGCAGAGGTTGCAGTGAGCCAAGATAGCACCATTGCACTCCAGCCTGGGTAACAAGAGCGAAACTCCATCTCAAAAAAAGGAAAGAAAAGAAAGAAAAAGCTACAGGCACTCAACATCAGCCCAGTCCATAAGAGCAGCTGCGGGGGCTGAACCCAGCAAAGCCACAGGTGCACTGCCCTAGTAGAGGTTTTCCATGAGTCTCTGCCTCTGCAGCAGACTATTCTCCCTTCCTACTACCACCTACCTCCCACCACCCTACTGCCAACCTACCCCTCCTCCCCACCCTGCCTACCCCTTTTCCTTCCACTTTCAACCCCCTCCCATTTATCATTACATCACCTCCCACCAGGCCCCACCTCCAACATTCAGGATTACAATCCACATGAGCTGTGGTAGGGAAACACAGCCAAACCCTATTATTCTGACCCTGATCCCCCAGAATCTCATGTCCTTCTCACACAGCAAAATACAATCATGCCTTTTCAAAAGTTTCCAAAAGTCTTCACTCATTCAAGCATTAACTCAAATGTAAAGAGTTCAACATTGTATCTGAGTCAAGGTGACAGTCCCTTCTGCCTATGAGTCCTTGAATTTAAAAGGCAGTTTTTTTCTTTCAAAGAACAATGATGATAGAGGTATTGGGTAAGCTTTCTCAATCCAAAAGGAAGAAATTTCCCAGGAAAAATAACACAAATGGGAACACAGGCCCAAGGCAGGTCCTAAACCAAGAAGGCCAGTATCCATTCAATCTCACAGCACCAAAATCATGAAGAGAACTCGCTATCACAAGGACAGCAGTGAGAAGATGGAGTTTAATCGTTTGTGAATCATTCTCCCCTCGCCCCTGCCATAATCCCACATTCTACCTACCCCACACCTTCCAACCCCCTCTCCACCATGATTAAATTACCTTCCACCAGGCCCCACCTTTAACATTTCCCATTACAATACCACGAGTTTTGGTAGGGACACAGAGCTAAATTTTATTATTCTTTCCTGGCTCCCCAAATTTCCTATTCTTCTCACATTGAAAAATACAATGATGCCTTCCCTACAGTCCCCCCAAAGTCTTATATTATTCCAGCATTTATACAAATGTCCAAAGCTTAAAGTCTCATCTGACACAAGGCTGCAGTCCCTTAGGCCCATGAATCAATGAAATAGAAAGCAGGTTAAGGCACCTACTTCCAAGGTGCAATGCTTGTACAGGCAATGGGTAAACATTCCTTTCTGGCAAAAGGAAACATTTTGCCAGAAAGAAGAACAAAACACAAAGATAGGACTTACAAGCCCCATGAAACTTCAAACCCAGAAGGCCAGTCATTCAATCCTATGGCTCCAAAATCACCCTTTTTGAAACTTTGTTCCACACCAGGGCACAGGGTTGTGAGGGCTGGGCTCCCAAGGCCTTGGGCAGCTCCGCACCTGTGGCTTTGCAGGGTTTATTCCCCATGGCTGTCCTCATGGGCTGGGCTGATGTTGAGTGCCAGTAGCTTTTCCCCACTGAGGGTACAAGCTGTTGGGGGATCTACAAATTTGGGGTCTATATGATGGTGGCCTTCAGTGTAGGGGCTGCCACCCCGTATTTTCTTCTACACAGCCCTAGTTGAGGTTTCTTATGAGGCTTTGCCTTTTTGGCATAATTTTCCCTGGACACTCAGGCATTTTCATACATCTTCCAAAATCTATACAGAGGCTCCCAAGCCTCTGGTCTCATGCTTTGTCCACCCAGTGGCTTAACACCATGAGGAAGTTACCGAGGCTTCTAGCCTGTACTGTGAAGCAGTGACCCAAGCTCTACCTGTGCATCTTTCAGCCATGGCTGCAGCTGAAGTTGGGGATGCAGAGATGCAGACAGCAGTTTCCTGAGGCTACACATAGAGCGCGGTCATGGGACTGGCCCAGGAAACCGTTCTTCTCTCCTAGGCGCCCCCCCTACCCCGCGCTTGTGACTGTAAGGGCTACTGCAAAGGTCTCTATAATGCCTTCAAGGCCTTTTCCCTAACCTCTTGGCTATTAGCATTGGACTCCTTTTTATGCAAATTTATGAAGCTTTCCTAAATTCCCCCCTGAAAATCAGCTTTTCTTTTTGACAATTTGTCCAGGCTGCAAATTTTCCACACTTTGAGTTCTGTTTCTCATTTAAATTTAAGTCCCAACCAGGGGTCATTTCCTCGGTCACACGTAAGAGCACAGGCTAATCAATGCAGACAGGACACCTCCTGAGCCATGCTGCCTGGAAGTTCATTCTACCAGATACCTGCTAAATCATCACCCTCAAGTTCAAAGTTTCACAGATCTTCTGGGCAGGGTTACCATGCAGCCTCATTCTTTGCTACAGCAAAATAAAAGTAAGCTTGGCTAGTTAGTGTTCCCAGTAAGTTCCTCATTTTCATCACCAGACCCCCTAAGTCTGGCCTTCACTGTCCATCCTTCTGTCAGCCTTCTGATCACAACTATTTAAACGTTTCCTCATCTTCCTGTCTTTGAAACCCTCCAAACTGTCTCAACCTCTGCCTGCTATTTCCTTCTGAACCTGCTTCTACCTTTTCAGCTATCTTTGTTGCAGCCTGGCAATGTGGTAAAAGAAGACAAGTCTGGGCCGGGCGCGGTGGCTCACGCCTGTAATCCCAGCACTTCGGGAGGCCAAGGCAGGTGGATCACGAGGTCAAGAGATGGAGACCATCCTGGTCAACATGGTGAAACCCCGTCTCTACTAAAAATACAAAAAATTAGCTGGGCCTGGTGGCTCACGCCTGTAATCCCAGCACTTCGGGAGGCCAAGGCGGGTGGATCACGAGGTCAAGAGATGGAGACCATCCTGGTCAACATGGTGAAACCCTGTCTCTACTAAAAATACAAAAAATTAGCTGGGCATGGTGGCGTGTGCCTGTAATCCCAGCTACTCAGGAGGCTGAGGTGGGAGAATTGCCTGAACCCAGGAGGCGGAGGTTGCGGTGAGCCGAGATCGTGCCATTGCACTCCAGCCTGGGTAACAAGAGGGAAACTCCGTCTCAAAAAAAAAAAAAAAAAGAAGAAGACAAGTCCATTTTCAGGGGGAAAATTCAAGAAAACTTCAGATACTTGAATGAAAAGAAGCTGAGTGCTGATTGCCAAGACAATAGGGAAAACGTTTCGAAGACATTTTATGAGTTTTCCTTATGATCATAAAGAAAAGGAGTATAATTTGCTCATGATTCTGCAGGCTGTAAGGAAGCATTGTGGCTTCTGCATCTGGGAGAACTCAGTGAGCCTTCCAATCATACCACAATGTCAATGGCAATGAGATGTCTCATACAGCAGAAGGAGGAGCAAGACGGAGAGAGAAAAGAGGTGTTACGGGCTGTTGCTCAACCAGATTTGCACACAAGGTCAGCATCAAGAAGTTGTTGCTTAGCCACTGGAGAAGGATCTGCCGCCAGCCCCAACTCCCACTGCTTTTAGGCAGAAGCCTGCTACAGAGTCAGAGCCTCTTGAAAAGTCATTACTAGAGAACTGCTGAAGGAAAATACGGGCTTGGAGCTCCCACACAGGGGCCGCCAACCTCCAAACCCCAGATTCATAGACCCACCAATAGCTTACACCCTCATGAGGAAAAGCTGCAGGCTCTCAACACCAGTCCAGCCCATGAAAGCAGCCACAGAGGCTAAACACTGCAAAGCCACAGGTACACTGCCCCAGCATAGGTTTTCCATAAGCCTCTGCCTCCGCAACCGGTTACTCCCCCTTTCCAGTATCCCCCATCCTCCCACTACCCTACTGACAAACTACTATGCCCCTCCCACCCACCATATTTTTCTTCCGTCACCACCATGATTAAATTACTTCCCCCATGCCCACCTTCAATATTTGGGATTACAATTCCACATGACTTTTCTTTTTTTTTTTTTTTTGAGACGGAGTTTCACTCTTGTTACCCAGGCTGGAGTGCAATGGCGCGATCTCGGCTCACCGCAACCTCCGCCTCCTGGGTTCAGGCAATTCTCCTGCCTCAGCCTCCTGAGTAGCTAGGACTACAGGCACGCACCACCATGCCCAGCTAATTTTTGTATTAGTAGAGACGGGGTTTCACCATGTTGACCAGGATGGTCTCGATCTGTTGACCTCGTGATCTACCCGCCTCGGCCCTCCCAAACCGCTGGGATTACAGGCTTGAGCCACCGCACCCGGCCTCCACATGACTTTTCATAGGGACCTTATTGTTCTGACCCTGATCCCCCAAAATCTCATGTCCTTCTCACACAGCAAAATACAATCATGCCTTCTTAAAAGTTTCCAAAAGTCTTAACTCATTCCAAACGTAAAAAGTTCAAAGTCTCATCTGAGACAAGGTTACGGTCCCTTCTGCCTCTGAGTCCCTGAATTTAAAAGGGAGTTGTTTTCCTTCAAGATACAATGATGGTACGTGCAGGCATTGTATAAGCTTTCTCAATGTAAAGGCAAGAATTTCCCAGAAAAATAATGCAAATGGGACCATGTGCCCAATGCAAATCCAAAACCCAACCAAATAGTATTCACTCAATATTAAAGCTCCAAGATATTCAAAAGAACTCACTATCACGGGGACAGCGTTAAAGATATAATGTTTAAACAAACAAACAAAAGAAGATATAATATTTAACCATTTGCAAAGGATCCACCCCCAAAACTCATCTTTTAACCCCACCCCCAATACAACCTCCTCGATTCTCTTGACACCCCTCCCTGCCTTTAACCCCCACTCTTCATCATGTTTAAATTACCTTCCACCAGGCCCCATTTTAACATATCCCATAACAATTCCACCTCACATTTGGTAAAGACAGAGCCATATCATATTATTTTGCCCTTGCTCCTCCCCCAAATCTCATGTTTTTCTCACACTGCAAAATACAATGATGCCTTCTCTACAATCTTCCAAAGTCTTAACTCATTCTGCATCAACCCAAATGCGCAAAGCCCAAAGTCCCATCTGAGAGAAAAACTTGCAGTGCCTTCTGCCCCTGAGCCACTGAAATACAAAGCAAGTCAGCTACTTACAAGGTACAGCGACTGGACAGGCGTTGGGTTAGCATCCCAGCCAAGAGGAAGAAAACTGCCAGAAAGAAGCACAAAACACAGATGGGACTTACAGACCCATGCAAGTCAAAAACCCAGCAGGCCAGACATTCAATCTTACAGCTCCAAAATCACTTTTTTTGAATCTATGTTCCACATCCAGATCACAGGGTGGTGGGATGGCTGGACCCCCAAGGCCTTAGGTAGCTCTGCACCTGTGGATTTGTAGGGTTTATCCCCCACAGCTGCCCTCATGGGCTGGGCTGGTGTTAAGAGCCTGTAGCTTTTCCACACTGAAAGTGCAAGCTGGGTCTATGAAGCCAGGGTCTAAAGAATGGTGCCTCCCTGTGTGGGGGCTCCAATCCTATATGTTTTTTCTGTACTGCCCTAGTAAAGGTTACCCAAGAGGCTCTGCCTCCTGGAAAAACTGTCTGGACACCCAGGCTTTTCCGTACATACTCTGGAGCCCTGGAATCTCAATGAAGAATCCCAGGTCTCTAGGCTTTTGCTCTGTGTACCTGCTGAGCCAGAACACTATGTGGAATCCTCCAAGACTTGGAGCGTGCACTGTCTGGAGCAGTGACCCAAGCTGTACCTGTGCAGGGGCCATGGGGCTGGCCCAGAAAACCATTCTTTATTATTCAGTCCTAGGTTTCAGGGCCTGTCACAGCAAGCCCTGGGGCAAATGTCTCTCAAATGCCTTCCAGGTCTTTTCGCTTATTATGGCTGTTCGCACTGGGCTGCATTTTATGCAAAATTCTGAAGTATTCATGAATTTTTCTACTGAAAGTCAGCTATACTTTTTGGCCAGGCTGCAAATTGTCCAAACTTTTAAACTCTGCTTCTCATTTAATAGAACTTTTAACTTGAGGTCATTTATTTTGTTACACATAAGACCACAGGCTGTTCAACAGAGAGGACACCTCTTGAGCTTTACTGCCTAGAGGTTCATTTCACCAGATACACACTAAATCATTACCCTCAAGTTCAAAGTTTCACAGGTCTCCAGGGCAGGGGCACCATGCAGCCACATTCTTTGCTAAGGCAAAACAAAAGTAACCCTGACTGCTGTTCCCAGTTGGTTTCTCATTTTCATCTGAGATCTTCCAAGTCTGGCCTTCACTGTCCATGCTTCTGTCACCCTTTTAATTATAACTATTCAACAAGTCTCTACGATAGTCCAAACTGTCCTCATCTTCCTGTCTTCTTCCAAGCCCTCCAAACTCTCCAAGCTCCGGCCTTACCCTCTTCTTCAGCTGCTTCTACATTTTCAGCTATCTCTGTTGCAGACTGGAAGTGTGGTAAAAGAAGAAAAGTCCATTTTCAGGGAGAAAATTAACAAAGGCTTCAGATATTCACATAAAAAGAAGCTGAGTGTTGGTTGCCGAGACAGTAAATAAAAATCCCTTGAAGGCATTTCGAAAGCTTCACTTCTCAGCACTCATTTTCTGTATGATCATAAAGAGATGAGGTTGAACTGGCTGAGGGTTCGGCAGGCTGGAAAGAAATTCTGCTTCTGAGAGGACTCAGGAAGCCTCCCAATCACACCAGAAGACCAGGCGGCAACAGGATGTTTCACACGGCAGAAGCAGAAGCAAGACAGAGAGAAAAGGAGTGCCATACCCTGTGATACAACCAGATCTCAGGAGAACTCAGTATCGGGGGAAGATGTGCTTAACCATTGGTGAAAGATCCACCCCCAACCAACCCCCACCCCACGACAACTCCACCATCCACCACAGGCTGAACTCATCTATTACCAGGTAGAAGCCTGCTGCAGAGGCAGAGTCTTTTGGAAAGCCTTTACTAGGGCCGTGAAGAAAAAAATACGGGCTTGCTGCTTCCACATAGGAGGTCACAAACCTCTAGACTGCAGAAACATAAACCCACCAACAGCTCACATCCTCAGGGTGGAGAAGTTACAGGCCTTCATCACCAGCCCAGTCAATGAGAGCAGCCACGGGGCTGAACGCTGAAAGGCCACAGGTGCACTGCCCTAGTAGAGGTTCTAAACGAGCCTCTGCCTTTACAGCAGGTTTCTCCCCCTTCCTACTACCCATCACCCTCTCAGCACCTTACTGCCAACCTACTCTTTGCCACCCTACCCAAACCTTTTCCTTCCACCCCTACCAACCTCCCATTCTTGATTAAATCACCTCCCACCAGGCCCCACATCCAACACTCAGGAATATAATTCCACATGAGCTTGTTATGGAAATACAGCAAAACCATATTATTTTGACTCTGAAACATCCAAATCTCATGTCCCCCTCACAGAGGAAAATCCAAATAAGCTGTTTCAAAAGGTTCCAAAATTCTTAAGCCATTCCAGTTGTAACGCAAATGTAAAAAGTTTCTAGTCTCATCCAAGACAAGGGTACAGTCACTTCTGCTTATGGGTCCCTAAATTTAAAAGGAAGTTCTTTTCTTTCAAGATAAAATTATGTTACAGGCATTGGATAAGCTTTCTCAGTCTGATGGAAAGAAATTTTCCAAAAAAAAAAGACAATTGGGACACAGGCCCGACACAAGTTGAAAACCCAGCCGCACAGGATTCGTTCATCACAAGAACTCCCTATGACACAGACAACATGAAGGAGATAGTGTATAACCACTTGTGAAAGATCTGCTGCCCAGCCCCATCTTTCACTCCCACCCCCAACATAACCCCCCAAACTCCCAACAGCCTCACTTCTAACCCCCACTGTTCACCAGGATTAAATCCTTCCACTGAGCCCCACTTTTAACATTGCCCATTACAACTCCACATGAGTTTTGGTAGGGACACAGAGCCGAATTATATTATTCTGTCCCTGGCCCCCCTAATCTCATGTCCTTCTCACACTGCAAAATACAATAATGCCTTCTTTACAGTCCCTCAATATCCTAACTCACTCCCGCATTTACTCAAATATCCAAAGCCCAAAGTCTCATCTGACACAGGCTGCAGTCTCTGTCCCTGAGCCTCTGAAATACAAAGCAAGTTAGCTACTTACAAGGTAAAATAATTGTACAAGAATGTCCCACATTCTGAGCACAGGGTGGTGTGATGGCTGGGCTCCGGAGGCCTGCAGCAGCTCTGCACCTGTGGCTTTGCAGGGTTTATCCCACAAAGCCGCCCTCATAAACTGGGCTGGTGTTGAGTGCCTGTAGCTTTTTAAAACTCATAGTGCAAGCTATTGGTTCCATAAATCTGGGGTCTGGAGAAAGGTGCCTCCCTCTGTGGAGGCTCCAACCCTATATGTTTCTTCTGTACTGACCTAGTAAAGATTTTCTATGAGGCTCTGCCTCTTCAAAAAGCTTTTGCCGGCCAGGAGTGGTGGCTCACGCCTGTAATCCCAGCACTTTGGGAGGCCCAGGCAGGTGGATCACGAGGTCAAGAGATCGAGACCATCCTGGTCAACATGGTGAAACCCTGTCTCTACTAAAAATACAAAAAATTAGCTGGGCATGGTGGTGCGTGCTTGTAATCCCAGCTACTCAGGAGGCTGAGGCAGGAGAATTGCCTGAACCCAGGAGGCAGAGGTTGCTGTGAGCCGAGATTGCACCATTGCTCTCCAGCCTGGGTAACAAGAGCGAAACTCCGTCTTAAAAAAAAAAAAAGCTTCTGCCAGAACACCCATGTTTTAC